GGGAGCGGCGAGTCTCCCGCTACCTCTTGGTAGCGCCTCATCTGGAATCGACGGCGGCGCTTAGCGCCGCCTCATAAATTCCCGATTTTACGGACGCGCATTATACTCGCCGGCGAAAAAGAGTTCGATCGGTCCGGCGCGAAAAAGCACGGTAAAACTTTCCCTCGCGCGTCGCTCGCATTATGAAACTCGACCAAGTTCGCAAAACGAGCCCGTAGCGCTATTACTCGCGCTTCGGGGATGGAATATGCGGCGCTGGGCAGAACGCCCGAGTTTTCGCGTTTACGAGGCGCGATTAAGCGTTTTATGAGTTCTATCAATTTTCGGATTCTATAGCACGCTCGCGCGCGCGAGCGCACGCGAGGATTAAGAATCGAATCGAGTCGCTTCGAGGAACCAATTGCGGATCCGCTGCGTTTTTAGCCGTCGCGAAATTATTTTTGCCCGGATACGGGCGGCGAATATGAAGAGTCCGGGAAAATGGATTTTCGTGCTTCGCGCGATTTGTATTGTAGATTGCTCGTCGCTCAGCTTTCTATTTCGGATTATTCTTGCTGCAGCGACGCGCCTCCCGTGCGGTTTCGCTTGACGATTAAAACGTTATATGTATGTCGCAGGTGTCGCGCATGGTATTAGATGTTACAAATGTGGACAGTACAACGACGGAGTTGGCAGCATTACACCGTGCATTAATCACACCGCACACATGCTGATGGAGTGCCCACACGAGGACAAATGGTGTATCGTAAGTACAACATATACATATTAATTTTCATTTCGTTTACCGAACGAAACGACGCGAAATATTTCATATGGATGTGATTACGATCACCGACGCGATCTTATGGAACGCTGCCAGAAAAATAAAAATTATATTTTACGGTACGTTCTACGGTTCAAAATTGCAACGTTGTCGAAACACCCGCGCAGCTGGAAGCGGAAGAGCTCGCTGAATTCGAGTGTTCCGTGAAAAGATAAATATTTCTTTCGCGAAAATAGGCGTTGATGCGGCGCCAACGATCACTTGACACTCTTCCAGGATCGCCTATAACGACGTTATTTACCTCTCGGCGAGCTCGCCGATGTCGGATTTATGAGATGAGTCCGCGCAAATTGGCTCGAGAGTCTTCTGCAAGCTTGCACGTCCGTTCGCCAGAAAACCTTTCAGTTTCTCCTCGTCTACCGCGAAGAAGTTCGGTATATATCGTCGTGTTACTAAAAGAATTTCTTGAATTTAGAAGAGTAATTCGCGTTCCGTGGTACTTGAAGCTAAATTTATAAATATTTACTGTTAAATATTTATTAAAGGTGAAATTTAAACCAATATATCTTGATTTAAATAATATTTTGTTATTGTTAACTAACATGAGTGTCGAAATTTATTATTTTAACACAAAACAATATTATTTCAACTTCATTGGTTTAGTTAAACTAACATTGTTTTAATTGAATAAACGACATATCGAGTAAGAGTAGTGGCGACCTATAGATATGGTTAAAACTGACTCAAATTGAATACAATTTGACACTACGAATTTAACAGTGTCCGAAGAGTCGTATCGCTTAGATGATAAATTATTTATTATAAATTATTTATTATAAAATATTGGAATATTAATTGGTAATATTCAAATATTTTAAATATTTAATTACTGAATTTAGCTATATACTTTTGTTTACTCGAACGCATATATCCGTAATGGATTTGTTTTATATCTCTACTAGTTTAAAGCGATACAGTTTTAATTCATTAATGCGAATCTAGGTGAAATATAATGTACGTAACTGATTCGTGTGTACCCATTTCTCCATTAACTATATATTGCGAATGTTTGCGCTTTTCCTCTCGGTGCATTGAAATAATTTATGAAATAGCCCAAGCTCTGTATTACCGAGAACTTACCTGTCTCCTGTGATGCATGGTCGAGTTCTGCTCTCCCCTCGACGAGAGGTAAACCTCATTATTAAATCTTTCGATCCTTCCCACTCATCGCGCAACAAAGAGAACGATGAACGGCTCCAGATGGAAATGAAACCGGAACCTGTGCTCGATATATATAATTTCGCGTTGTAATTTGCTTGGAGAAACCGCAGCTTTTCTTCTTACAATTAGTTAGAGTTCTCGCCCGTCCTTATTATCCTGAATATTTTATTATATTGTTTTCGGAGTAAATGCAGGCGAGGAGAGGAAAACATCTGCGTCACATTGAAAAGTAAAACCGGCTAAGCCAAAAACGAGGAATAAACCGGAGGGATTTATTGGAACAAGAACGATCAATATTACTTCGCGATTCGAATATAAGGGGATCAATGGCCTATGTAACGTACGTTTAGAACGCAAATGAGATTTCTGCGCATAATAAAATCTCCTGAAATCTCTTGGAATTTACTTCGAATGTTCTACGGAGTCGGCAAGCGAGGTGGAGTTGAGGTCGATGATAGTCCGTCTGTGTCTGCGACAATGGGAAACGATTGGAAACTCTCCGACTCGTCTCGGGGTGAAACGGCACGGAAGCCATTTTCTCGCGGCTCTATGAATCGCGAAGTTTACATCCGCCGTCTTAATAAAACGGTACGATCTAATCAGCATAACGGCAGAAGGTTCTCTCGTTGCTTTGTCAAGCTAAGTGAGGCGGTGTTCATCCGCAATGAATTTCCTCGCTCTTATTCCCCGGCTTTTCTCCATTATCTTCGCTTTTCTTTTCAGGATACATCCCTTTCTATCTTCTTACTTATTTCGTTTTCGTGTCGCGAACATGAAAGCTCGCACACTGAATCCAGATGGAATATTAACACGGAGTTCAAAGAAATCGATCAGTAACGATTTGAGTCATCCTTCACGATCCCGTTTCAATAGAATGAAAATGGGGTGGTCATTTGTCAGCTAATAAGGAATTTAAGAAGGCATGACTATACCTTGCGTTAAGAAACCATGCATATCTGGGATTTTTTTTTTAAATTGTCAACTTTATTCAGATAAATGTTTTCTTATTTTTAAAAATATTTTTTATAGAAATAATAAAAATTTTTTGATAAAAAAATAATGAAAAATATTCGGCTCCATACAACAGTCATCGCAAAATAAAAGTTTTTACGAAAAATTGACAACATATCTTTTATATTCTTCATTATTTTTTGATAAAAAAATTCTTACTATTTCTATGTATTTTTTTAAAATAAGAAAACATTCATAAAATAAATATAGAATAAAATTTACAATTTTTTCCACACAAATAATCTCAGAATCGCATGTTTTCCTAACGCTTCCAGGCTTTCCCCGTTAATGTTTATTCGCAAAATATATTAATTACTTTGGCTATTTATTATTCTACAAATAAATATTTATATGATTTTCTTTGGAACACCAATACCCTTTGTATATGTGTGTATATGCGCAATCAAGGGAATCATTCCCGATGTCTAATTGATTTTAATCTCCTTTCTTTCAACCTCGTTACTGCATAAGCTTTCGCTCTTCGCGAAAGGACGATGAAGCAAAGAAGAGTGTAAAAAAAAATATCCGCAACGTCGTTCATGATTCATGACTGCAAGTAACGGCACGTTGATCGTCGTTCAATGGTCAACGTTTCACCGATTATTTTTCGGCGGTACTGGATTCGAGAGCTTCGCACAGGTGGGGAGCCGATCATTTGTAACTGAATGCTCTCCGTGCACGCGATAGCGGCCGTCGGCCTCCGAAGTCTCCTCGATTTCGAGGTAGCCGACAATCTGCGGCGGCCAAGCGGAGTTCGATGCCTCCGGGCCGCCCGCGCCGAGGTGCATTCATTGCAGGCACTGCATTATTTACGCACGTGCTCCTGTCGCTTCCCCTTAGTGCACCGCCGCCGGGCATTCCGATTTGGTTTTCAAATTAGTGCCAATTGCATATGTCGCGTCGTATTAATTAACATTTAGCTGCGTTATCGGCTGTGACAGACCTACATCTGTACATCACTCTGGTGAAAGCATATCTTCTCTCTCTCTCTCTCTCTCCCTCTCTTTCTCTCTTTCGCCCATTTTTTTTTCTCAAAAACCGATGGTATCTGTAACGATTTGATGGACGAAACTTTTGGCACGTTTTAATGTTTTGAATTCGATTCAATTATTTGATCCATCACGTCGGTAAAAACCGATCGCCATCACCCAGCGACCCATTAACGTGCAATGGACGTGTAATTATCTCGAATCGAATTAAAACAGGTACACGAGTACACGGGATAAAATCTGAAATTCGTGCGAAAGCGAAGCATCAGAATGATTCTCACATAACAGCTTTCCTGCTGATCGTTTAATAAAGTAAACAACGGTTGCTCTGAAACTCCAGCGTAAATTTGGTTTATACAACGTAATAATAATGGTTGTCTAAAAACCGAGGTATTTAAAATAAACTTGTAATTATTTATAAAACAATTGGTAACAAGAGTTACGGGATCATTTTAATGACCTATCATAATTTTCAGTGTCAAATATTCTTGTTGAAAGTTTTAATAATATTTGAGATCGTGATATTTCTTGTTAAGCTGACTTTCTTGTTAGTGAAAACTGTCTTGTTACTTCGAAGAAAAATTGTTGGAGAATTTTTAAAAAATTCTATTTGCGCAGTCTTATAATGAAAAAGCTGCGTTAGTTATTAACTCTTGGTAACTCTCCCGAGTTTACCTATACTAATGCAATTTTTGTCGTAAAAATAATCTTCTTTTAAATAACGGAGGACATTTGCGTTTGCACAGCCATCGTTACTTATTAACGCCGGATACACTTCTCAGATTTCAGAGTCACGTACTATTATGAGACTATTTATATTATATGAGAAGCCTTGGTACGGAATATCTAAGTGTTATGTTCGTTTTTATGAACAGTTTTATATCGCGGCCGTTTCTATAATAAATATGTCAAAATAGATATATCTCCGATAAAATTATTTCTGTACCGTCAAGCTTGCTCGGTAACATAATCGCCGCCCTGTTCATATTTCGATTAAAAATACACACGTTCCGTATTCGTCTCGTTTGGTTAGCAAAACAATCTAAAGTTGCCAGCAGTTTTCATGTTATATCTTCACGATCGTCGCGAGATTGTTTCTTTCTGCCGAAGAGTCGGCAACAATATTTCCATTTTCTTCAGATTTTTCTGTTTCAAAGACACTCACGCCCCAGAGCGCTGTCGAAAGTACCGCGCGGATAAATTTGTGGATTTCTCCGAAACCGCGAGGAGGAATACGGGAATTTTCACTGAGCCCAGGTTGGCTTTGCCACCGAAATCGGATCGCTGCTCTCTTTATCTGCCGTTCGACGGCACACTTTTTTCACCTCGCACACGATCCGGCGTGTTCGTCTCGCATCTGCATAGAGATTGGATGGCGGCGGTATATATATTTCGGTTTGAGAGTGCGAAAGCTTAATATTCGTCCATCGCGAATCTGCGAGAATCGTGCGGAATCGAATGAAACGAGGTTGACGGGAAAGCTTGGGCGATTTTTCATTTTTCGACGATATAAAAGCATCATCTTTATTGTCCTCGACTAGAAACGACGAGGAAAGACTATAAAGATTTCAGGACGAATTTATGATCGACCGATCTTTCGCCGACTTAAAAGTCACACAAAAGTTCACGAAACTTCTTTATCACGGGGAGTGCGACCGTTTTCATAATTGCCGCTATTTCCGCGCGATACGAGAGGCGAGTTAAATGCCAGACGTCGTATTTCTTCCTGATGTATGCGAATTTTTATCAATGCTGAAAATT